AAAAAAAAAAAAAAAAAAAAAAAAAAAAAAAAAAAAAAAAAAAAAAAAAAAAAAAAAAAAAAAAAACAATAAAATATGAGCATGCATTATTCCTTTATTTTTCACGCTCAATTATCCATTTGCCACGTGCTCTATTCTTATTAGATAATTATTTTACCCTAAACTTAGTAGAGATATACCTCAGTTAGGTTTAGGGTTGGGTTCCGAAAATCTTTTAACCAGCCCGAAATTTCGAATTAGTTGAGTTTGTGAACCAAACAACTCGAATAGAGTTCACAACTCAATCTTCTAGGTCTGTTGAGTTGTCCGATTATTTTTTTAAATCATATTTATCTACGATACATGTTACATTAATAACTAAAATATTGAAAAAGTTCAAAGATCAAACATTCACAACTTACGGTGAATCATTAACCTTGGTTACCAATGTTAAATATTCTTGATTATGATAATAATGTCAAAATTAAGATAGGGTGGAGTTGGATTTGAACTCTATTTTCGAGTTTGTTGGGTTGACCCAACTAAAAATATTTAACACGAATCGACCCAATTTTTTCAATTTTCTAAAAGTTTTCCTCATTCCAACTTTTACGGTTTGGGTTGGATAGTCCAAACTAGTCAGATTTACGGATCATATGAACCTCCCTAAAAACAAGAGGTGTCTATAAGTTGAATTTGGTTAGATCAAGACATTTTTTAAACCCAATCTAATTGTTACCGTTTGAATTTTAGGTATAATATATAAAATTGAAAGTTTAGAACTAATACAACGTAACAAATTTAAAATTTTCGATAGATTTAAAATTTTAAAATCGGAACATTATGAACGGTTGAGATGGTTAATGTTTCCTAACTCATAATTGATGAATTCATTGGCTATTGAATACGACATGAATTGCATTTATTTATCTACAAAATTGGTATAACATAAACGAGCATAAATTAAAAAAAATAAATATTCATAATTAAGTTATAGCTCAAATTGAACTAGTTAAGCATGATTTTTAACAGATTATTTAAATTAATGAAAATCATTTTTATATAATTTTTTTTTTCCGCAAAAAGAGAAACTTACAAACTCATTTATTGAATTTTGATGAATGGGTTGGATAAAATTTAAAGTATTGGGCCGGCCCATTAAAATTGGACTAAAATGGTGTGGGCCCATTAAAATGGTTCCGTAATGACTCGGCCCATTCTATTGTACCCCAAAGATTTATTTATTAGCTAATAATGTTTTGAACCGTGCAACTATTATAGTATAGTAGAGATTTTTAGCTTCAAAGTTGAGATAGTCGTGTGCTCGAAGTCTATCTAGGTCAACCAGTTGAAACTATAGCTAGTATAAAAATTTTATTACACGATGTTTCAAGATAATTAACAAGATACAAAATGAATGAACGAAGATGCTCGATACAAATTGACGTTACATTGTTGATCGAATAATAATAATAATAATAATATCAACAATAATAATAATTTGTTAAAAATTAAAATAATAATAATTTTAAAAGAGTAAAATTGAGAGGTGGTATATTAATTTGCATGGGGGATGGCATGCATGCAGGGGAGCTCCAGTGATTGATGAGTACAAATGCATGCCATGTCATGCCAACTTATACATATATATATATATATATAATATATATGGTATTATTGCGCTCCCCGATGCCACTCTCTCTTGTGGCGCGTGAGTTACACTCGCCTAATTGAAACACCAGCGCGTAGGAACCACTCGCGAAAGGGAGAGATGGGAACAGATGAGATGGAATTGTAAGAAGAAGACTGAAATAATAATAATAATAATAAAAGCTGTCTAGGTCTATCTGCCAAGAAATAATATTTGTATTTATTTTAAAATAAAATAAAAATAAAAAATAAAAGGGAAGGGGAAGGGGAAGGGTGACGTAAGCATGGAAGGCTGTGATAGGGATGGGGTGGTTTTGGGATAGTGTGTTCGTTTCAACTCGCGTATTGGAGCTGAGCTTAGCTCATAGGTTGTCTTATGGCGGTAGAGAGCCACAGAGATTAACTCATAACTCCATTACTCTTTCCTTTTTATTTCAACCCTCCAAAATTCTTAAGATGGAAAATGGTGCGTCGGTCATTTAAACACAGACTAAAACTTGATTAAAGAGAGGAATGAGTATTAACATGAATGATGGACCTTGAAAGAAGTGGATTGTGAGATCGCACATCGATTAGAGATAAGAACTAAGCCTTTTTTATAAGGGTGTGAAAATTTCTCTCTAAAAGACGCGTTTTAGAGGTTTCGAAAGAAAAAACTTAAAAATGATGATATCGTAATAACAGTGGGTTTGGGCTGAAATCTAAGAAAGAAAGTCCAAAGAAGATGATATCTACTAACGGTGCGCATGAACTATTACACCATCACATCCATAGAGTAGGAAATAATTAATTATTATTATTTTTATCCTCAGTCAAAATTTACTATTTTAATCCATTTTCCATTACACCAGGTGCTCAAAATAGGATATTTACATAAAGAACTAAAATTTGAGGACGTATTTGAAAATAGTTACATTCTATTTGACAATTTCCCCCTTTTTTTTTTTTTTTTTTTTACAAAGCTTGCTCAAGATTCATTGATAACAAGGCATTAAACGCCCCGTTCAAAATTGATGTATTTACAAATCAACCCCAAAATGGTCTCATTCCAAAATTACTTCATTTTCGTTCAAATTCTTTAACGAAATATTACGTACGAAGATTTATTCTTGTCATCCTCATTCCACCCCGCCTGCCATTGCTCGGCAATGTCGTCGGCAATTTTCATGGCATCCGACGTGGTTCCGAGCAGCCCTCTCTTAGTAAACCCGACCGTGTATAACCCCCTCTCGCCTTTCCACCCGTTCGGAAACGGGGTTTTCGGCATCCCGTCTTTCGTGAAAAAATCACATCCATGCTGCAAATCATAATCCTTAGACATATCCATTAAACTAAACCCTAAACTCTAAATCTATTACTCGAAAGCATCCGTTGTCCAAACCGAAACAATACGAACTTTATGAGTAATAAATTATATTATATCGGATACCTTGAGCCAACTTGGCACATTGCTTCGGTACCCGGTCGCTAAGATTATCGAATCAAACTCCTTCTCTTGTCCATCCATGAACTTCGCTCCATTTCTTGTTATTTCCTTAATCCCTTCCATTATCTTCATCCAAAAATAAATGATTATATCACAAAGTTTTTAATTAATTAACCAACTAATTGATATAAATTTACCTTGATCTTCCCTGATCTTATATACGACAAGGCTCCGACGTCGAGAACCGGGGTCTTTCCCGTAGCATTTTTGAGCTCGATCGGACCGGTTTTCGGTCGTCGGAGACCCAATTGATTGGTATTGCCTAATGTCAAATTGGCGGCTAAAAGAAGAATCTTATCCACCAATTTTAGAGGTAGCCATTTCATAAACTCCATCGCTATTCCAAATGTCGAGAATCCGAACATTTCTTGCGGTAATACATGAACCTTGACAACGATAAGAATATAAATAAATGATAATTTACCCTAGGTTAAAACTAAATTTACCGTGATCGAAGAAAATACTTACCGTGTTTCTAACAACCATATGGGGGATGGCATTTTGTCTGCAGAGATCCAAACTAACTTCCATACCGGAATTCCCACAACCAACGACCAAAACCCTCTGGTTTTTAAATTCCGAACCGGACTTATACATACTAGTATGAACCACGGTTCGAGTAAACCGCTCAATCCCCAGAATCTCAGGAATAACCGGCTCTGCATTTTCTCCGGTTGCGACGATGAGCCAGCGCGAAATGTACAGGGTATCTTGAGTGGAGACTCTCCAAAACCGGGAAACAGAGTCGAATTCAGCGGCGAGAACGGTCTGATTGAACCGGGGTTGAATGGAGAAATGGGAAGCGTAGGACTCCATGTATGAAATGAACTGATCTTTGGAAGGGTATTTTGGGAAGTTTTGAGGGAAACCCATGAGAGGAAGCTCGCAAAAATGCTTGGGGAGATGGAGTTTAAGTCGATCGTAGGTGCGGTAGTGCCAAAGGGAAGCAATGCAATCGGATTTCTCGAGAATGAGCGAAGGGATTCGATTGTGGGAAAGGGAAGCGGCGGCGGCTAATCCTGATGGGCCGGCGCCGACAATTATGGGGCCATGGATCCATAGGCATTTGGGTTCTTGTGGTTGATCGTGTTCTTGGTGTTTGCAAGAACCCATCAAGGTGGCTCTGTTTTGGTCTTTGGTGGTTTTACTCTGTTTTTCTGGGCGAGATTTGAAGGAGTGTGGAGTATAAATGGATGAAGAGAGAGAGAGAGAGAGAGAGAGAGATAGAAGGGTTTTAATGGAGGCGTGAAGGTGAAGGAAAGGGATTTGGTTCAGTTTTCCTCGAGGCTCTTTCTACTTAGCGTCTCTGCCGCAGGGCTTTTCTGGGGTGTTGGTGAATTAATTACACTCTCTTTTCGGGACGGAGAATGTAATCTACGACTCTAACCCTATTTACTTTACGGAGACAAATCTATCCCCACCTTCCTTTTTTACAAGTTAAAAGAACGACTTTAAATGTGCTGGTTCTTAGATAAAACCTGAGATTTTCTTTATTTAGATTTACACGTTTTCATTAGTTGATTGAATACATTCGTTTGATTCTTTGACAAATCGTCAAATGTATTGCCAAAGTTTTAGATGACAATTTTGTATCGTTTGACCCTTTGACAAACACGTCAAATATATTATCAAAATTTTAGATGACAATTTTGTATCGTTTGACCCTTTGACAAACACGTCAAATGTATTATCAAAGTTTTAGATGACATTGTAGGAAATGACACATATTTTGAGGATAATTGAGATAAGCAAAAGTCTTCGACAATTATCTCTGTTATTTTTAGCATCTTTATTTTCTTCCAACAACTTTCATTCAAACGATTTCCTCTCACCGAAAAGGATTTCAGTTGCCGATTATTCTTATCGATTGTCGAAAAACAACAAGTTGAAGCCATTGGTGGTATATCATTTCGGAAGAGCCAATCTTATCAACAGACAAGTTGAATAGCTCAAGGGGTTAGAGCGTCGCAACACATAGGTCTCAGGTTCGAGTAGGAGAAAATGCAAAGCGTGAAAACACACATATTGTGGGGTCCATCCCGAGGTGGGCTCACTCACTCCTCCAATGCATAACGAGTGAGCCTTGTTGATGCCTGTCAACCTACAGGCGCAAGGGTTATGGCACACTCTCGAGCTATAGAGGAAGGAGACGGCTGGTAAGTTCCATCTCGTGGGCGCATGCGCCTCGAGAAAGAGGTGGATCAAAACCAGTGCTCGTACTCTTGGGAAGAGAGGTTCGATAAGTTCCATCTCGCGGTCGAAGCAAAAGTCAATTATCTCTATGTTATTTTTGTCTTATTTTCTTCCAACAACTTCAGGTCAAACGATTATCCTTGCCGATTGTCGAAAAACAACACTCATATGAGCTATCTTTATTTTAAAGAATCCCGACTCGTATGAGCTATCCTTGCCAATTTCCATAGCCGCCTTGATTTCTAAGCTCTCTTCTTCTTTTTTAAACAACCAATTCTCAATCCTAAGTTTTGACAAATTATACATCACACATGTAAAATAATAATGCACAAAGTCAACGACAGAGCCAAAAAATAAAGCATAGTCACAGTTACCTACTCATTAGCTTAAATTACATATATATGCATATATATAGCCTCCCGTTTATCATAAATTGTATAGATAGAACGTACAATTTTGTCATCCTTTTAAGAGAACTATTCATCTCACATCATAACGACTCTCGAAGGAATTTGAATTATGAACAAAGATACTATTATCCTAGGTTGAGCTATCATCTCCATAATTAAGAACCTCAAAATGATAAGTAATTAATCTAAGAAGAAATTTTAGAATGGATCATGGTGATAATTAAGATCAAAAGTAAAGAAAACTCGGGATTTGAATTACTTTACAAGATAGTTTGATCAAGACTATTCGAATGACTCTAGCATGCAAATCTAAACACAAGAAATATAAAATAACAAGTTTATGACTTACGAAACATGTTTGCGTTTTTATTTTTTCTACACTAATTTTCCAACCTCGAGAAGTCCCCTATTTTCGAATCCTTAGGGATTTGGATTTGTACCATTTAAGTGATGCAAAAATCAAAGTTTTATACGAAACCCAATTTCCATAAAAACACAAACTTTTTAACACAAAAATTTGACCTCAGTTGAAATTTTTGAGGTGGATTGTGAGATCTCACGTTGATTGGAGGAAGGAACGAAGCATTTCAGTGAAAATTTTTCTCTAATAAACACTATTTATAATCTTAAAGAAAAAAACTTAAAGAAGACAATATCTACGATTGGTGAGTTGTTACAATTAGATTGGATAATTTCGGTGGAAAATGAAGAGTTCGTGTAGCGTTTATAAACTTATTACAAGAATAACATTTGGACCTACTTTTTAATTTTCCCCCTTTCTTTTTTTAATCTTCCAAAAAAACAATAAATAAAATAAATAAATCTAATAAAAATAATATTAAAAACAATTTTGTAATGAAAAGAATTAGCGAGGGTAAACGGTGGAGGTTTGACGGCTCGTGACAAAAGTCAACCATCACAGTTGCCCAATCAGACAACCACGTGACGGTAGGGTGGGTCCACTGAGCCACTTCCAGCCAACAAAATCTCTGTATGTGGTCCCCACCTGCTCGTAATGACGAAAACCACCCTGACATCCCCCCTCCCCCCGCTTTTTGAATTAACACGTTTACAACTAAGCGAAGCGACCCTCAGTTTTTTATGTAAGAGGATTAGTGCAATTCGATTTGATAGGGAAGGGTATAATCGTCATTAAGTCCTCCGCCACACGTGTCACCCGCTTAACTCCAGGTTCCTTTTTGTGGAAATATTTTGACTGCAGTTCAAGTGGATCCTTATCCTTGAATCCAGGCCGTCCACTGTTCCATCAATCCCGCATACTTGAATGTCAATCGAACGGTCAGGGTTCCATCACTAGAACTTTTGAATATTTAAATAATACAAATAAATAATATTTGGGCCCAATAAAGCCCAAATGAGAGGCCCAGAAGATGGAATTTTAACTATATCGGTCAAAAAGAGAATAAAAAAGAGGGGAATTTTATTTATCTTTTTAATTTTTAATTTTTAAAATTTTAAAATTTGAAAGGATTCCTAACCAATGGAAATGTCATCCCATCTATCACCTTTGTGGTGGAAGATTTTATTTGGTTTCCTCAAAATGGGAATATAAATAGAAAAAAAGACCTCCGCAAACTTGGAAAAGGATTTATAAATATTTCACTTCAATCATTTGCATTTGTGTGATGCAAAAACGATCCCGTCCCATTATTTGATAGATCGAATAATTTTTTTTCCTCTCGACAGGGAAGACCGAAAGTTATCGAATCATCATCATGATATAGAAAGAATATATTTTTTTAAAACTTGTCGATCATCCTCAACCTAAGAAACAAGTCAACTGATAATAATATATGTTATCCGATAAGAAGTCTGAGTTTCAAATCTCGTCATCTCACTCGGTTGAACATTGTTTTAGTCATAATTTTTTTTTCTTAAAGAAAACGACTCACTTGAATTCATGCAACCAATCAACCATCTCTCGTGTTCCACTCGTTCTCAGCCGTTCAAAAAGAAAGAAACTTTAAGCTTTCAACTAAAGCAAGCTTAGTAATACTAAAATGAGCATGAACGTTAAGTTGACGCATTGCTAGTACGTCTAACGTTTGGTTGGATGAAATTATTGTATTGTACAATTAACATGTATTTGTGGCTGTTTATTACGTGTTATATGATAATTATATAACCGTGTATGTGTATATTTGATGCATCATTCTTCTATGCATGTAAATTGTATGACTATGTGTATGACTCTCAAGATACCATGAACTGAAATATGTTAGAAATGTTATGATTAGGTATACTAGCTTCGTAGATAATGTATGTCATGATAACATGGTAATATTGTATTCTTGCGTGAATTACTTCTCCTCCTATATTTATACTAATGCGTACTTATGGTTCAATTGTGTGAGAGTGTAAGCCTACGTGCAGGCTTTGGGTTCACGAAAATCGGGCATTCGTCTAGTGGGCCTATGTCCATGTATAGGGAAGTACCATGCATTTAACCCACCAGAATGAAATTCGAACCTAAAGCTAATAGACATAGCTTTAGGTAGCATAAAAGACAAAACCATAATTGAACATATTTGCATTTATTGACCTCAATATTAAAATCACGCTTGAGATATTATTAAATACTCATCCTATTATTATTAAATATTTTTCAGGCAAGAGTCCCGGGTATAAATGACAACCTATAAAATAAAGTGGTGAATATTATTAAATATTTATTTTCCCCTTTAGAAAAAAGAAACGTGTTTAAAATATTTACCAGCGTCTTCTCCTCTAAATAAAGATTGGAAACTAATTTCGCAAATGTTTTATTTACCATTTCTTATCAATCTCTTCACGAAAAGATTGGAAACTAATTTCGCTATAGATAGTGACTCGGGAAAGAGTTATCCAACCACACCGTTCATGGAAGACCATCGGAAAAATAAGTGGTTCATAGGGATAATTTTTGATAGGGGACATTTTTTTTCTCTCTTTTTTATTTATATTGTCAATAATTATTTATGCAATTATTATCTAATCATAGTAGTGATTTGAATGATTAGAGCATTTCAACGGCCGGCCCATTACTGATCTAAATATATGGGCCTTTAGCCCAATACGGCCCAATTATGATTGGTTCAATTCAAAAGCTGGTTGAGGGCCCATTTCAAACTAGATAAAACCAGTAACATGGGCTTAGCCCATATATACACTTTGTTCTTTCCTGGCCCAACTTATTTGTATATTTTGGGCCTCTTCAATGTTAAATTGACATTTTTGACATTTTCTTTTATACGTCTTTATTAATTTAATATGCAATTTAAACCTTCTAAATAAGTGATTACCATAATTTCAACTAATCGTCTCGTATTGGGGTAATAAAAGATTTGTCCCATAGCTAATTTTTGTGTTTTGTATTTTTATAACGGGATGGTCAATTATTTAAGATAAAATGATAAAAATAAATATTTTTAGAAGCATGCGACTAAAATTAAAGGTGTTGAATCTTTAGAAAATAAAACATTTGAGTCAGTTGCTGGTTGACATTTTTTTGTTGAGTCAACCGGACCAACTAAAAAATAGGGTCATAATCTAAATATATTTATAAGATTATTAGAAAAATTAAGAATATTAAATTACATTGAAATGGTAATATTGTAATATTGTAAAATGGTATTGAAGAATTGGTAAATTGATATTTAGGGATTTGGAAATTACATAGAGAAGCAGCGAGTAGAGAGGGAAGATGTATGTATGGTTCGGAGTTGAGGCGCTGTGCGAGGAAGGGCGGCGGGCTCCCATCTCCGGCGGGCGGCTGGCCTTGGAAGATTCTCCGGCACGATGGTTTCGAGGGAATTGAGCCGCCACTGAGGGCACATTCTTTCTTCGCTCCATTTTCTGGAATCAACAAAATTGACATCTCCCATTTCTACGCCACCACTTTCTCCGACCATTTGCAGAGCCATTGCCACTCCGACCACCCCCAAAACGCACCGCTTTTGCCACCGTTCTCCATTTCCATTCCTGCCCAATTCCACACAGATGTTTAAATTTAATCCCTGGGTTTTGTAAATTCGAAGGCAGATCGATTTCTTCAATTACAGAACCAAAATGAATGATCGGAGTGTGGTAAGTAATTACCGTGGAAGGAGTTGATTGGTGGTGGGTGTGGTGGACTTTGGGAGCAGCCGCGGCGGCGGATTGAGGTTGTTCAGGCAACAGGTGGTGGACATAGCCATTTTTTTTTTGATGAATTTGTCTGTTGGAGTGTTTATGGAACTGTGGAATTTGGGAGAGAAGGAGATGGGAAATGAAGAAGTTAAAAAGAAGGAGAAGGATGAGGAGGTGGCGTGGGAGCTTGTTGGTCAGCTCACGGTAGTTGAGAAATGAGAACGACGGCAAGGGAAGTCCAGCAAGTTTGGAACAGCCACCGTGTGTCACGGTTAATTAAAATTATAAAATGCTATTTCCATAAAATTTTGTCAAACAACAACAATAATATTAAATAATGATTATCCCATATTTATTTACTCTAATAAATTTAATAATATTTCATAACTAAAGAGTTGGATGTTTAGGATTATTGAGAGGAGTAGTCCACATTAGCTAATTAACAAGAATATCATGAGTTGATAAGAAATGAACGCCGTCTCTATTTGTATGTGATTTTTTTTTTGAGAAACTAAAAGTGAAGTCATGAGAGCTTATACTTAAAGTGAAAAATATCATATCATTGTAGAAGTTCATGATTCCTTGTATGGTATCAGAGTCACGCTCTTAATTTAATTATGTCAATAGAATCCTCAAATGTCGAATAAATAAGTTGTGAGTCTTGAAAGTGTAGTAAAAAATGATTCAAGTGGTATTGATATGAGGTCTATTGGAGAAACCATCTATGGGCAAAGTCATGAGAGTTTATGCTTAAGTAAACAATATCATATCATTGTGAAAGTTCGTGATTCATAACAGATAAGAACATAGATGGTAATTTTAAGTAAGAGAGATCTTATTTATTTATTTATTATTTTTGGTGAGAATGTAAAACTAATATTGATATTGAATAATTTTGGCATGTGGTGGAGGTGGGGGAGGGTTGCTTGCCGTCTTGGAAGACTTATGCAGACGCGTGCAGGGAAGGCTTTTAGTTTAGAGTACGACACAACGGTCATGGTCTCCCTTCGCTTCATTCCGCCCAACGCCCAAAAGATATTTATCCATATCCATATATCTCTCATGAACTTTTTCTTCGGAAATTATATATATATATATATAGTTATGCAACATAGCTTAATAGATAAAACATTAATTATCATCTTGAAATTCTAACATTAATGTTAAACCATTAACGACTTCGGAAAAACAACTAGTTTAACGTATTCCTGACACTTTAAGGTCATCTCCATTTTAGCAAAGCTAAAACTCCTCACCACTAAAGTCAATGAAACTACTATAACGTTGCCACCTTCAACGACATAGGCACTTGGATCTTCTTCACACTTGTCGTCATTAGTAACGACATCAAAGACAATAGAGAACAAAAAAAACATTTATTTATGTGTGTGTCTTATTTTCAATAGTTATTATAGAGTAACACATGATTTTAGATGTGTGAGAAACCTTTCTAATAGTGATTGAAACAAATACATGCATTCAAGTTTGAAGTTTAAATTGAAAGTTAAAAGTTAAAATTAATACAATCTATCCAGTTTAAGGTAGACGATAATTTTTTGAAGTTACGAGCGCAATTGATGATCAACCATGAAAATACAGAAAGTGTACCTGATGTATTGTGATTCTCATTTGATTTATAATGAAGATGTGTACATAATGCAATGACCTTTCTCTTAATGATCTAAATACATCTCTATTCTCTGTTTCCCTTTTGAAAATGAACACTAGACCTTCATGTAATTGTGTGGTGCTGCTATATTTTGCGACAAAACTATGTCGTTTAGTTTTTCTTTTTTTTCTTTTTTTGGTTATCTTTTTTGGAAATTAAATGCCTTAATTGAGAAGGCAAAGATGAATCCAAAGAGCAGGGGCATCCCAATATGCACCACTGCAACAACACCCAGAAATTCCTGTCTGTACCCAAAATAATTCCTTATAAATTCTTCAACAGTTTCACCTGATTGAAGGGTGTCCTTAATATCTCCGAACTGGGAAGCAACCAATCCATATAAGGTCCAAGAGACTGGGCATGCCCAGTAGTACCATCTCCACCATATGGGAATCCTCTGCCATCAATTTAGTCCATATAAGAAGAAGCTTCAAACTTGTATCAAGAGCCAAAAGAAAAGGAAATGGTATTGAGTAATCTGTGTAACTTACTGTTCGAGGAATGAGGAACCCCGAGAAAACGTTCCATATTGTATAGAATGAAGCGGAAACTATGCTGGAGATCTGGTCGTTGGGTGTAATAGCAACAGCCAACATTCCGTAGAAGGTGAAGTACAATAAGGTGAAGTACATGAAGAATAGATACCAGAAGAACTTGGTTGCTGTCCACTCGAAACCGATCATGGCGTACACGATGACACTGTAAATGGTTGTCTGAATGAATACATATGGGAGCTCAATCATAATCTGCAAGGCAAGACACATCTTTTTCAGTTTACTTCTTATTCTTAAACGGTAACAATTCAAGCAGCCTACCGTTAGCCGATAGTTTTTTTCTTCGGGCTTTCCCTTCCCTTCCAGACTGTCCCTCAAGGTTTTAAAACGCGTTCACTAGGGAGAGATTTCCACACTCTTATAAGAAATGTTTCGTTCTCCTTTCCAACCGATGTGGGATCTCACAATCCACCCTCCTTGGGGCCAGCGTCCTCGCTGGCACACCGCCTGGTGTTTGGCTCTGATACCATTTGTAACAACCCAAGCTCATCGCTAGCAGATATTTTTCTCTTTAGACTTTCCGTTCCGGACTGCCCCTCAAGATTTTAAAACGCGTTCACCCTTATAAAAAATGCTTCGTTCTCCTTTCTAACCGATGTGAGATCTCACATAAACCCAAAATGTTGTAGTTCATGTTTTGCGAAAAGAGGTACAAGTTTAAGTCGTAGCAGTAGTAGTAAGAAATATTAATGTAACCTGTCCGAATGCATATGGCAATGCTGAGTACATTCCTGCGGCTCTTTCTCTATAAAAGACTGTTCTTTCAATGGCCACAACTGGTTGCACGGAAGAGGAATTTTGTGTCCCGATGAAGAGAACAGCGACGTACATGGATCCAATTGCATTGAAAAGATCCTGTCGTGTTTTTCTGCATTGCCAAGGGATGAAAGTGAAGCCAATTAGAGATATAAGAGATTATGAGGAAAGTAAAACAGTCCAAACTCTTTGCTGCCCCTAAAACTCCCTGTTTTCCCCTCATTACCTTCTTGAGCCGAGATCCCAAAATATTGTCCCAAATAGAATGGCAACAAAAGTTGCAAATAAAAGTCTCACGATGGTATATGGTGGGTTACGCCAGTAGGAGAGGTGCTGTTTCCATAGACATGCCATGCACTGGTTAAGGAAAGATTGAGAGTATTGAGTAGGAAACAACAAGTCCTTCGAACCTGGTGGAGGAATGCTTAGTTCCTTGATCAAGGCTTTGTTTCTCCTGTGTAATGGAAGGGAGATATGATATAGATGGACATCAAATAAATTGCAGGACAATCTTTTGGCAAAGAAATCTTCCTTTCTACCCTTTGGGACAATGGTGGAAACTTTTAGTTATGATTAAGAAGAACATAATTAGATTGTACCTATACAGTTCTGAATTCCTATAGATGTCGGTGAAGTTAACTCCAAGAGCAGCTTCTTGTGCTGGTGAAGTGATCTCTAACATCCAAGTTGCAGGATTGTACCCATCCTTGATCTTTGGAACTCCTTCAACTCCCTTGATGCAGAAACATCACACTTTTTAGAGATTCTGGAAAACATGAAATTAATTTCAACCGCAAAAATGCATTTTCCTCACCTCAAAGTAATCAATTAAGTGGGAAGAGTGGCGACCAATCGGACCGACAAATATTGCTTCTCCTCCTCTTTGCAAGAGGAATAGCTATAATGAAGCATTAAAGGTTTTTTCAATTCCAGTATAGAATAAAGAAGAATAAAAATAGTCAACAACTTCTGAAATGAAAGAGTGTTCACCTCATCAAAAGCATCAAATATATCAATACTTGGTTGGTGAATGGTGCAGACTACAGTTCGTCCAGTGTCAACTGTGCTCCTGACAGTTCTCATGACTATTGCTGCTGCTCTGGCATCAAGACCAGAGGTTGGCTCATCCATGAAAATTATGGATGGATTAGCCACGAGTTCAACTGCTATAGTTAGCCTCTTCCGCTGTTCAGTTGTAAGTCCATTGACTCCGGGCAATCCAACTAGAGCATCTCTCAATGGGGTTAACTCCATGAGTTCCATGACTTCCATAATAAACATCTGGAATGGAAAATCATTCGGTTAATAATCTGAAAATAAAAGATAAATCCTTGCAAATTAAATTTTCTTTTAAAAGAAAAGAGAAATAAAGATTGATACATTTTTGGTGCCCGAATCAACATCAGGAGATAATCTGAGCCATGCGGAATACACCAATGATTCATAGACTGTAACGTGGGGAGAATGGATATCAGTTTGCTCACAATATCCTGAAATACGGGCAAATGTTTCTTGCCTCTTTGGAAACCCAGATATAGTGATGGTTCCTTCTGTACATCCACCAGTTTTCCTTCCAGCTAACACATCCATTAGAGTCGTTTTACCGGCACCACTAACGCCCATTAAAGCTGTTAAAACTCCTGGCCTGAAAGCACCACTGACGCCCTTTAGCAATTCCAGTTTGTCCTCAACGACACCTTGTGCTTTCATTTCCTAAAAGAAAGTCAATTTCGAAATTAGGAACACAAACTAACGTCAACAACTTTGACATGGTTCCCACTTGAGAAAAGATTGTTCTGTTACTGTAATGATCATTTGATATACAAATTTTGCATTATGGTTCACTGAAATTCAATACCTGTGGCATGTCTACAGCATATCTGATTTCGTCAAAAGTGATAGAATGGGGTTCATAAGGAAGAACCATCCCTCGGTTGTTATTATGGTTAAATTCACTGTTGCTTCCAACTCTTGTAGACAATGTCCTGGATGATATATTTTGACTCTCCTTCTCTCTTTCTGCATTATAAAGATATTCATTATGCTATTGTTATAAATAAAGCTAGGCAATATATTGATCTCAATTTGATGACCCACCAAAGAAGATGTTGGTCTTTGTTGGGGGTTCGAATTCTCCAGTTTTGTTAGCATTTTTCTCAGCCAAGGTATCTTCAGATAGTACTGCTTGCGGCTTACCAAATGCTGCAGGAAATAATGCAAAGTATTAGTAATGTGTACAAATTATAATGTCAAAATCGTACATGGTGAATGACTTACGATCTAGGTAATGTAAGGCCAAGATGAAGAGAAAATTGAAAAGCAAAACGTATCCAATTGTAGCTCCTACTCCTATCCAATACCAATAAGCTTCAGGGAAAATCCCTCGAGACTTCAAGATTGTAACACCTAATGGTTCTGAGGAATTGGGAAGCACCTGCAGCACACAGATCTCAACATATTTATCAGTTTTTGCTGATGGAATCTCTTTACATTCTTCTAACTATGAATCAAAAAGATAACTTTAGTACATACATGCCTCCAGCTATCCCCAAGAAATTCATTTACTGCGATAGCATTCTGTCCATACATCATTGGTGAGACCCAATATCCCCACAGCCACCATGGGTGTACATCCTCTAACAAAGAAAGAATGGATTATCTTTTCCATGCAAATCAGAAATGTAGCTGGTCTCATTATATTACGTAGGCCGTATTGAAATTGAACATGAAAGTTACCTCGAGCCACGATAAATCCACCCAAAACCATAACTACCGGAAGAGCTAATGTCGCACATGTGGTAGCCACAACAACATTTCTTCCAAGTCCTGCTGCTAAGCGAAATAATCCTGATGCCATTTGGTTGATACAGAAAAGTAAAAGGAACTGTTTGAGAAACCTGCAAATGAATGTTTTTTCACGTTTAGTGAACCAGATTAAGACTTGGTTTCAAATTGTAAAATTGGCTACTTTTACTTACCTTTCAATGTTTGGATCAAACCCTATGACATAATAGGTCATGACCACCCAAATGCCAACTTCTAGACAGGTGATTGGGATCTTGAGTATCCATGTTGGCAGAGCATATGTCCAAGAAGGATAGAAGAGAAGGTCTCTTTGCTTATAGAATACAGGAAGTTTCACGACAGTCATAGCAAGTTCAGAGAATCCGTTGAACATGATTACAATAAGAGTAAAGAACAGGGCACCCATATAAATCCCTCCATCTAGTTCAGTGTCTCGATGCAGTTCGGTGCGTAGGAATAAAGTCATTGTTACCAAAGCCATTATAATAAGCTGAAAGAAAAAATAAGTTAGTGAAGTTGGAAATGAGAAGAGCACAAACTATTACAGGTTCAAATGGCTTTACTTTAGCATCCTTCAGCTCTTAACATAGTAAATATCAGGCATTTATCTCAAGTTGTGTATCTGAGCAAAATTTTGGGGCCAAATACCACTTACTTGGAACATTTTGAAAATGTATACAAAAGAATTCCTCTTCATTAGCAGAATTTCTCTGGATATACAGGCTTTCAACACTTCCTTTTTGCTAACACCGTACTTCTTGGTTGTTAAAGTAGCTGGGTGGGATTTGGACCTATCGAACGGAGTGGCAAGCTCATCTCCCAGTTGTCGACCAATATGAAATGACTGAAACGCTTCAGAAAATTCTTTGACTGAAACAAATCTATATGGTTCCTCTCGAAGTGCCCAGTATTGTTCTTGGTCTTTCCTTGAGGTCACCTTGCATGAACAAGAAGAGAACATTCAATATAATAATATAAGGTACAGTGTCTCCTGAAACAAACCAACGTAGGTGCAAAAGAGGGACTTACTTCTTGTAAAAAATCAGCCACCCCTTTTCTCTCTGGACACTTGAAGCCCATATGTGCAAAGAAGCTGAGAACATCTTCTCGTGGGCCTTGATACACAATATGCCCATTTGACAAGAGGATTATATCATCAAAAAGATCAAATGTCTCCGGTGCAGGTTGGAGAAGAGATATGACAGCCGTTCCATTCAGTATATGGATTGATTGCCTGAGAGAATTCACCATCTGGTACGTTGTTGAACTGTCTAAACCGTTTGAAATCTCATCCATGAAGAGTGCCCTAGCTGGTCCAACTAGCATCTCCCCTGTTTTTATTGACAAGAAGTTTGAGAAATAAGGACTTGTCGACAACTTGGATTCTATGAAATGGATAAAATGGAAACGAGTCCTTCTGGATTTTACCTGTTGTAAGACGCTTCCTCTGTCCTCCAGAGATGCCCCTTATCATATCATCCCCCACCATGGTATCAGCACACATCTCAAGCCCCAAAATCTGCCAAATGATATTATCAGAGAGAGGGAGAAAGAGTACATACAATTCTATCTTTTTCTATGATTAGAAGACGGTTCATCACATATTCAAATTTGAGTTCGTACCTTGAGGATATAGTCTGTAATTATGCTAGTTTCTTGCCCTTCTAGTGCTTCTGCCTGCAAGTTTTGAAGCATTGATTACAGAACTTGTAAAAGACCGAAAACTTCTTTTCCATTTTGATGTGCTTCTTTCAATTCAAACCTTCATGTAGATATCAAGATCAGGGTCCGGTTTAATATTTGCAGCTTTTTCTCTCCTCGAAAGTTCTGCCAACATTTCTGAAAAATTTTCAAGTTGGAAGCGAATAGTTAGCATCTTCAGCTAATATATAATCTGTATCTCTTGGCATTTTGGCAACTCACCGTATCGTGATCCGACTCCTTGACATCTTGCTGAAAAAGCCAACGTCTCCCTGACAGTCATCTCCCCAATATGCAGATCATGTTGACTTATGTAAGCTGAAGTCCTTTGCGGTACAAACTCCTCCATTCCATGTCCATTGTATGAAACTTTACCAGAAAACTGGAACCCACAAGAACTCTCAACACTGTGGCATTAAATGTCTCCAAGTATTTTAGTTTATACACAAGTTTTAGGATTTGATTCTTACTTTGAGATCTTTCCCAAGTTTTCCAGCCAAAGCCAATAGTAAAGTGGTTTTTCCAGAACTTGGGGGACCCAAAAGCAACGTCATTCTGCAGAATAAAAACAACAGCATTACAAAATGGCGACTGCTGCATATTTAAACCACGTTCCTGATCGTTTACCTCTTAGGCTTGATAATTCCACTGACATCATGAAGAATTGATAGGGGTTTCTTCCTACTTGGAAGGATGTGAAGATAATTTAGTAAGCCCTACAAAGAACATGAAGCAAGTAGAAAATGAGATCTAGTTCTTAAGACATGATTATATCAATCTGAAAGTTTATTTGATTACCTCAAATATGTTAAGAGAGAAATTGAACATTGTGGGCAATGCTCTTCTTCCCACATAAACTTCTGCTTCGACATTCAGATGCTCAAACCGAACTTCAATTGTTGGGATTTCTAGACCAACTCTGTGTTGTAAGATATTGGAGCATTAAATTTACGAGATTAACTGAAGTTTTTGAGTCTTGAGTGATAATTTGATGAAGTATTATATCATAAATCTTAGTCAAATTCTTAAAACGAAAATACGTGCTTATTTTGAATATTCATACTACAATTTTATTTTTAAAGTATTCAACAGCAATCCATGAACATAAAATCGTTATCAACAGTCGACTTCAAATCGCAGAGTTTCCCAAACAAATCATAAGCGTTATGGAAATACTAAATCATCATACCAGAAAAAGAAAATCGAAGCTAATGAACTGTGATTGATATATCTAGTAACACTATTCAGTTCAAGACAAAAACAATACTGAAGATATTGTTGAATTCATCATCAAGGTTTGGCTGAGCTTGAATGATTTCAGAAATGAGTTCGAACTAACCTTTCAATCCGGTCTCTGAGCTTCAACAGAAACTTCTCATTATCTTCCTCAGCAATCTTGACAAGCCTTTCCAAAACATGCCTCCTCTCCAACAATCCAAGGTTCCGGATATCGATCTCCCTGGCTTCGCCTTGCTCTTCTTTCAGTATTCCTCTCCGAATCCGTAAATACGTCGGAAGCTTCTCGATCGCCGCCCATTTCAGAGCCTCTTCGTCGTCATCTCCACAGGAAGACCTGGAGAAAACTTCCATAGCGAAATTACCTCCAAACAGACCCTTCGAAACAGCTTAAAACGCTTCCAGTACGAACTCTGTAGGTATGATTCGTTAGAGTCAGAGTCCAGAAATCTCAGGGATCCATAGAAGGAAGTCGGACGGCAATGCCGGTGGGGTTCTTCAGCAGGATTGTTGATGAGACATGGAAGACAGAGGAGGCATTATATATAGTTTGAGAAAATTGAAAATGGAAAATAAAATAAAAAAAGAAATAAAGAGTCAGCTCCAATAATGGTGGATGTTGCGTTTATTATGGTCATGTGCTTCTCAATGATATGATTTGATCAGCAACAGAACGAAGAAGAAGAAGAAGGGTGGAAAAAGGGTAACACACAAATGAAGTCAATCCCGTTCCCATCAGATTCTTCCATTATTATTATTATATATTTTTTTTAATATTTTTTAATATATCAAATATGGAATAATATTTTCTTTTTGAGTTAAATAATATTTGGAGCCATAATTTTGAATTTTTGTGTATCGTGTAGTCGTCTCATGTGTAGTGCACATGCTCGATTTGTCCCAAATTGTGACTCATGCCTTGACTCGTCTCCCTACACTCTTTGCTCGATAGCTCTAGCTAGGCTTATACAACTTATTTGACTTGATTCTGATCTATTTGAAGTATCAGGACTCTACTCTACCATTTTGGACAGTACCAGTACCAGTACCAGTGTTTTTTAGGATAATATGATCCTTGTTTGGTCAATTTAAATTATCTTCAAGCCAAAAGTTGATTTAATTGGTACCATGAAATGAATTGCCTCAACACGACGTCATGGGTTTAAGTAGATTGAATTGAATTTTGAGGAACAAATTCAAGCTAGTTATAAGAATAATTAGTAACTACAGACCAACCAACCACGTAAGTGGCTTGTTTGAAAACCATGTGTGTATTTTGTATTTATGTCTAATAGAAATGCTATGTTATGAAAAAATGAAATTATGTCTTGCATCATAAGTTAATACAATGATTTAAAAGTTATGGGTATTTCATGCATTTTTTTCACGCCATGTGTATCGGGATACTTTCCAGTTATGATTAGTAAAAACATGTACATTATAATATCTATGCACATCATGCATACACCCATGCACACGTGTGTGGGGTTGTAGAGTTCAAAGTCATAATGGTTTATGAAAAGATAGATCTTATCATGATTGCATGTACTCAATTCTGATTCTATTTCATGTAGAGGTAACGTCGTTAAGAAAACAATAAAACCAAATTTTTTAACTTTTTTTTTTTTAATTTTAAAAGAAAATAAGAATATTTTTATTAATATAACCTTAAAAAAAGAAAAAAAGAGAATTATTTGAAAAATTCACGCGATTTGCTTTCTCCATTTTCATACTTCATCCAATTTTATTCAATAAATGACTCACCCACATGACTCACATGCTCGCCAGATACCGAACCAAAGCTAATTTATTTATTTAATTATTTAATTTTCTTGAATATGGAAATTATTAATTAAATTATCGATAAATTGGCTCGTACACAAATTCGTACCAATCAACATAGGAAGGTCCTTTTTAGTGGGATCGCAATGCTTATTTTACGATTAATATTTTATTAAGGTAGAAAATCGATAAAAAAAATAAAAAAACTAATTGTATTTTATTTAATTAAATTAATGTTTTATTTGACTAAAATTAAATTTAATCCAAAATTAAACAAATAAATCAAAGCCTCAACCAGATACGAACTTATATTGGCTTCGGGAAGCAGAGTCGGCTGAACAGCTTGCTTTACCTGAAATAATTATTTTTAATTAAGATTCTTTTTTATGTGTTGTGGAGAGATTATTATTAATTAATTTAAATTCAAAATCAATTTTGACTTCCAAATTAAATATTATATCCATATAAAAATTTGACTCAAACTCAGTATCAGATTATTAATTTATTTTTTTTATTGTTTGAGTTGGATTGAATTTTTTGAAAACTGAAAAATCTCTTTCCATTCGAGAGTTTAAATATTGTTTGTTTTGGCATGTTACGTGTAGATGTCAAGCTCATGTCTTTAAAACACATATGCTAGGACAGATTTCTACACCTTTATAAGCAACGTTTTGTCCCAGTTTCCGACTGATATGAGATATCACATGAGATACTCAACATCCTTCAATATAGAATCTCACAATCCACCCCCTTGGGGGCAACCATTGTCCTTGTTGGACACACTGCCCCGTATCTGGTTCGGATACTATTTGTAGATATTATCCATTTTGACTCATTACGTTTGTCGTCAGCCTCAAATACGTTTATTAGGGAGAGGTTTACACATCATTATAAAAAATATTATATTCTTTAGAAAAAGAAAATTACTTATCCACTTTATATATTACATTAACAATTAAAATATCGTAAAAGTAACACATCAACCACTCATAAATCACAATGCATCACTAACAAACTAAATATTAAATTGAAAAGTTTATAAATAAAACAAACACGGGTTTTATGAATTATATCAATATTATAATATATTTGTAATTTAACGTTGTAGGTCAAATAAAACAACGTGATCTTCCTCGGGGCGAGCAGAGAGAAGTGTATGATTTACTGACTAAGATTTTGCAATAAGGGGTAATGAAAAACGACACCGTATTGTCGGTTTCGAGGCAGTATTAAGAAAATGGAGCACGGACCAAACATTATAATTATTGGGATAATCATAATATTGCCTCAACGGGTACAAAATCCCCACGGATCCGGAGAAGATGGGTCGGTCCATAGTCAACTATTTCTTTTTCTTATTTTAAATTAATTCACCCAACTCATCCGAATTAATCCCTTCATTTTTTAAATCTATATTATTTTTTTATGATACATGCATCCGATTTGATAACATTGCCGAATATGGGGTTGTTCGGGCAGTGAAATCTCCTATAATTAAAAAAGAAGTAAAGAAACAGAACATGAATGAATTGATACCATATTTGAATGAGATATAGTTGAAAAAGTCACCGCCTATACCAAGAAAGTGCACTTTCATTTTCGGTGACTGAGTCATACGAGCTTCAAAGTTAAAGTATGCTTTATTTAGAGCAATTTCTAAGATACATATAAGTGATGAAAAAATACGGTGGAAAAAACTTGTGTTAGTCTATGGGGATAATCTTCACTTTTAGAAGCGAGCAATAGGCAACATGACTATATCGTAGAGGAGATATTTTATTAATTATATAAGGAAAATAAGTAAAAATAAAAAAGAAATAAATAAATAAATAAACGAGAGGGGGATGAAGGATTGTGGAGGGAATCTTGGGGGAAAGGATCGAGCAGTACAGCTGGTTCTTCCCATTCCTATCACCTCCACAAGATCCTTTTTATTTTTTTAATCCTTAATTATTATATTATTTTAATTTTAATTTTTAATTTCAAATTATATTGGGCCTAGGCCCAGCCCACTTGCCCTGCCCATTGGGTAGTGGAACTTTTCCATGTTGGAGACGTTGAAGTTCAAGATGGCCCAACGAAGGCCCATGTATGATCGGCCCGTTTATGAGTTTTTATATGAATTATTCTTTGGAACAAACGTCTATCCCTTTTTGTTCAACTTATACTGCTCCTTCGTCCACCTTCCATTGCAGAGTCTTCCGTTTGATTTCCTCACAATTTCCTGGAGCTTGAATCCGATCAGTCATGGCCGAGGTAAGCTTCGTTTCTCTATCTTTCTGAGTTTAGCTTCGAGAAAAGTTGATGATAGTGAGTTTTTCATTTCATTTTTCCCATCATTAACGGCCCCGATTTGGATGGGATAATCGTTTTCTGTATGCAAAATATGTTTCCGTAATGATCGTTTTGTTTGGATTTCACGTATAATCTCGATTATAGTTTAGAGGAATGGTTTTTTTGCTTTTTTTTAGATGCTTCCGACTAACCGGCTTCCCTCGTCACAATTTCTGACGAACTGGTAGGATTTAGATTTCCTTAGAATTTAGAAGATGGATTGTGTTCTTAACTGGATTATGTTTTGCTTGCAACCAGCGATGAAATTCTTCAACGCTTGTCGGATATATACCCGGAGTCTTTACACTTGTATTTGTTGCATTTTGGACGCAGTAAAAGATTGGAAGCTGTAAAAACTGTTAGGAAAAGAACATGAATTTTTTTTATTTAAACGAGAAGCTGAGGTTATGAAATAAATTAAAACAGCTGGAAAACAAAGAAGAAGAATGCATTTTCTATTGATGTTGCCGATGAAGTTGTGATTTAATATGTGGGATGGAATTCTTGTTTACAATTGAAAAACCTACGAATCCCCCCCTTTGGCCTGTCCGATCATTACCAAAATTAAGGTTCTCGTCATGAATACTGCTCATGAGGGTGAGCCATAATTTTGGTAGCGCTCGGACAGGCTAAAGAGGGGATTCATAGGTTTTTCAATTGTATACAAGAATTCCGCCCCACACGTTAAATCACAACTTCATCGGCGACATCAATAGAAAAGTATTCTCATGAATACTGATCATGAGGGTAGAGAACTGAACGCTCTAAATCTCACTGCAGTATCTTCTTAGTGGCAGATCTCAAATAGACAAAAATTCTACCCAAATGTTTCTGATTGAAAGATAATAGATATCATTGTGGAAAAAGAATATAAAGAGGAGATGCAGCACCATATATCCTGGCAATTGAAAATTCTCTGACCATTGTCTAAGAAAACATCACACTAGGGGAGAAAGAACTGATGATTTGAGAAATATATGCTTATTAGAATAGTAGAAAATAGGACATGGGAAGGATGAAACATATCTCCGGCTGTAACCTAGGAATGCAGCTAGCATATTGTTGTTTGCCATGAGTTTAGGTAAAGAAGGCACAAGATAATTGGTAAAATGTTGCAATGTTCTATTCACTCATATTGGAAGGATGTTATTAAGAAAACGATTACTAACTACTCGTATCTGATTGAATGAAAATTTAATGATGCGTATCTCTTTCTTACTTACATTGGCGAACAGATATATTGAGTATGTATTAGACAAGTGGTAATCCTTGATCAAGATGATTCTCTTCAATGTCTGTTTTATTTTGTTTTCCCTATTATTTTCCTATGCCTTTTTGTTTTTCATCTCAGATTGAGCTGAAAACAGCACCTGCTGACTTCCGATTCCCTACTACAAATCAAACCAGGCACTGTTTCACTCGTTACATTGAGTTCCACAGGTCCATTTTTCTTACAACTTGGAACGAGAGTTAAAATTGAAAAATGAAAGGGTCTTTAGTCTTCTCTGTTTTCATCATTAGTTTTCCCCTTAAGTATGCGGAACTTTCCACAGGTGCCTGACTGCGAAGGGCGAGGAGTCCGGTGAATGTGAGAGATTTGCAAAGTATTATCGTGCCCTTTGCCCTGGTGAATGGGTGAGTTCTTTGTTGCACTTGGTGTTGTTTAAAGTAAATATAATGTTTTTTATCCTATGTTCCCGCTCATATTGATGCAGTTCTGCCAACATTTTGGTGCATGGCCACAAGAATTCTTTTGCCTTTTTCAATATTAGCATTGCTTGATTTTTTTTTTTATGGATACTCTCTAGATTTAATTCTAAGTTCCATTCATAAAATTTTCTCTATGAACCAGGAAAATTCTTCTTTTGATATCTCTATGCCCTGTGGCGTTAGATTACATGTTTATGATCTTATTGGCTACTGAAGCTATTTTCCCTTGAACTTCATGTATTTTCTTTTTCCTATCAGGTTAGGCAATAATATTTAAATTTTAGTAGAAGTTGAATGATTAAAATCAAAATTGTAAAAGTCTAGGACCACAATTCTAAAAAATGATAGATCAGATAGTTAGGAACCAAAACTATATCTGAACTATAAGATATATCTGAACCACGCCCATGAATATCTACACCATGATTCTATGGGTTGTTGAGTCTATCAGCCACCTTTATGAACCTCTGCCTGTTGATATGCTTAAACCGCATCGTTCCTGCAGGTCGAAAGATGGAATGAGCAGAGAGAGAATGGCACATTCCCCGGCCCTCTTTGAACGAATGTTCATCACCCCAGAAAAGCACAGATTGTCAATTTTATGTATGTTCTCAAGTTGTACCAAAAAACTGTTTGGGAGTTCCATTATTTTTCATTGCCTCGATCTATTGTGTATCTCATGTTCTATAAGTAAAGAACATCATTAAGTTTCTGATTCCCATTACAGAGACGATCCTTACTGAAATTCTAGTGTTTTGAGGAACTGGAAACATTGTGTTTAATGTGGTCAAAAGGTTAAAGAGGGAGAGAGAGGGCCAAGATTGCAATTTCCCATATGCTTTTGGGGCTTTGTGAATTGGTTTTGAAGCTTTCCATTTTATAAACTATCTTCAACAGAATTGCATGGAAAGAAGAGCTTCTGAATTGAATGAATCTTCTTCCATTTGCTGCCTCCTTTCAAATTCAAAACTTGAGCTTAAATTTACTCATTGTTGCTTTGAATGCAAGATTTGGTAAGTTGCTTTCAAATAGGAAACCCAACTCAAGCTTTTAAGTACCCATTTTATTTCGCCCTTATTCATTTAAATTTGTTCAATATATATATATATATATATATATATATATATATATATATATATATATATATATATGTATTTATATTAGAGGATTTATCATTTACGTCCTAATTTTTATTTTTTATTATTATTTTTGTTTTTTTGTCAATGTTAGATATTTATTATAATGGTAAAACATTAGGATTAAGTTGACTTTTAATCTTGGATGTTCTAGGACAACTTTGTTTTTAATTATTAAATCCATATCATATTTTTTTTATAATGATAATTATAAAATTGAAGTCCTGATAAGAGAAAAAAAACATATTTCTTTAAAGAAAATTTGTGAGTTTATTAAAAAAAATAAAACATTTAATTTTATTAACAAATCTAAAGAATTAGAAAATATTATTATTGATTTTACTTTTAGATAAATTGTGAATAAAAGAAAAAAAATAAAATTAAACAATTGACATGTAATTTGATATTGTCTCAATTTCATAAAAATTAAATGAAAATAATATTTTAAATTTAATATCAATCATCCTTTAAAAAAAAAATATATTAAACAATATAGTAACAATAAATCAAAAGCAATTGGGACAATGCTTTAATTCCCATTAATTTCTCTATAAAAAGGGAGAAGACCTGAATATATCAAATTATTTAAATATATGTAAGTAATATTTTATTAAAAAGACTTCTCTCTTTTACTATTAAAAACTTAACTTTCCTAAAGTACTTAAAATAATAAGTGATAGTCCAACTCCGTTCCTAGCAAATGTTGTCTGCTTTAGTCTGTTACGTATTATTGTTAATGTTAAAATTTTAAAACGTATATATTAGGGAGAAGTTTATACATTTTTATAAGAAATATTTTGTTCCCCTCTCCACCATACCCGAGATTTTATCGTAATAATCCAAAACCTAAAAGAAAATAAAAAATAATAATAATCACAAAACCTAAAATCTTAAAACCTTTTGTAATGATTAGGGGTAAAAGTGGGTGAGAATTTCAAACCAATCATCTTAATAGTCTACCAAAAAAAGTAAATATTTTGCTCAACTTTTTTTTCCAAATAATAATCATTTAATATATATATATATTTACTAAATCAATGAGTAATTATTAAACCTTGGCTAATTTTTGGGATTGAAAGTTTAAATTTATGTAATAAAAATATTATTTATAAAGAAGCCAATAAAAAAATTTAAAAATAGAGTTGAAATTAAATATAAAACAAATAAGAGTGATTTAAAAATGTTAGGTGCATGGTTCGGTAAGAAATAAATATTTAAAAATTTGACTTTGAAATATATGTATAATGCCTTAAAAAATATTTATGATTTAAAAGAAAATCATCGAACACCTTTAATATTAGATTAAAAAATAATCCAATTTAATTTTTAAATTTTAATTTATAATAATTTAATTCTGTACTTTCACATTTGTATTCATCATTTTAATATGGTGCGGCCATAAAAAAATATTTTTGATGATATATTTAGGTTTAAAATTTCATTAAATTTTAAAAATATTTTTGATGATAGGATTAAATCATAAAAATTAAATATACAACGACTAAAATGAGAATAATTAAAAAAAAAAAAGATTTTAATTTTAAAGTATTATGTATGATATATTTTTTAATTTAATACGTTTTAAATTTAAAGCAAGAGTGAAGATTTGACCGAACCCGCTGCCCCAGAGGAGGAAGCACGTGGCAGTTAATGGTAGCGAGTTTCCAAATTTACAATATTATATAGTCGCTCAAGTTTAGTACCCCTTTCTTCCTCTTTTGTTTCCATTCCGATTCTTCCCAATGCCTGAATTCAGCAACGTCCTCGTCGGAATCCTTAACTTCACCACCATCTCACTCTCGATCCCGATTCTCCGGGCCGGCGTTTGGCTGAGCAAACAAGGAAGCAACAAACCCGTAATCATAATCGGCGTGTTTCTGATATTGATTTCTCTCGCCGGTCTTCTCGGAGCTTTCTGTAGAGGCTCATGGCTTCTATGGCTTTACCTTCTTCTTATGTTTGTTCTTATTGTTATTCTCTTTTTTGTCACCATTTTCGCTTTTGTGGTTACCACCAAGGTCCGGTGGTATAGCGATGATAAGGAGTTACTCGAACGGATTTTATATATGTTTAATCGGTTTGAATTTTTCATTAATTTTATTCAAATTACATTCGAGACTATATTTGTTATGTGTTATCTTCCGTTCGAATATTGGTTTATACAAATACTCATCTCTTTAGTATTCACATTACCCAACATTTGTTTTTTATTCTTAACATGGTATCAGAGTTTTTCATTTTTAACCGGAGTATAGATTTGGGATTACTCTAGTTGGCTGTCAAAGTGGGTGAATGAGGGTGAATGAGCGACTTGATTGATGGGAAGATCTGTTCCAGCTTTGATGTTATGTTAATGATATTGTTTTAAACAGTTCTACCTTAGAGTTTTGTAAAACCTAGTTGTTTGAATTTCGTTTCTGTTTCAAGTTTCAACTTTAAATCTTTTGTTTTGAATTGAAGATCTATTCGGTTGAGTTATGTATTAGATATATCGATCTCTATTGGAACTCTATTCAGTCTAGCTCTTTAGTTCGGTTCGACCCTAATTTAATTTGTTTAACTCAAGCGACAACTGGTTCTTCGTTGTTTCGACTTGTTTAGCTTGAATTCGACTAATTTGGTAGGGTTTAAAATACTTCAAGTATATCTAAATAGGATCTATGAGTAATAGGACACTCCATGACGGTTATGTGTGGTTTGGAATTCCTCATATTAAGTAGAGGAGTTGGATTGTAACGCTTCATATCTAAAATTTGGAATTCGAATGACTCCGATATTCTTCTGCATTCTCTGCAATATAGTCACGTTACTTACTTCTTGGTTCTAAGAGTAAAAACTATCTTAAGTGACCAACACGTGTCATTTCGATATACTTTATCTTCGAACACAATTTATAAAAAAGGCCCACAACATGAATTTTCATTTACTCTATACTCTTACTCATGAATTTTTACTAAAGTTACCGTTAGCTTTTAATTAATTAGTTTTAAAATAATTAAGTCTATTTTATCAATAAAAACTACTAAAAAAAATAGAAGTGAGCATTAGTGAAAAATTGAAATTATAAAATTATAAAATCAAATTATAGGGTAAAATTATAAAATTGGAAAACTAAATTCAAACAAAAATCTAACTTTAACCTAATTTTTTTTTTCTTTGTTGAATAAATACATTTATTCATATTTGATTAATAAATAAAACACCAATGAAATAAATTAACATCATTATCCATTTAAATTTGTTTAATATTTTATTTATTTATTTATTTAGGATTTATCATTTAATTTTATTAACAAATCTAAAGAATTAGAAAATATTATATTATTATTTGCTTAATATTGATTTACTTTTAGACAAGTTGTGAATAAAAAAAAAAAAGAAAAAATTGACCATGTAATTTGGTATTGTCTCAATTTCATAAAATTAAAATGAAAAGGATATTTTAAATTTAATATCAATCCTCCAACATCATCATTTAAAAAATATATTAAATAATATAGTAACAATAAATCAAAAGCAATTGGGACAATGCTTTAATTCCCACTTGTTAATTTCTCTATACACAAAGGGGGAAGACCCCACTTGATGAATACATCAAATTATTGAATAAATATTTTATTAAAAAGACTTTTCTAAATTACTTAAATATCCAATACAATAACATTTGGTGAGAAAAAAGCCCAAAGAATAATAGATAATATAATTATAATAGTAAAACTTTAAATATTGTCCGTTTATTATGTATCGTCGTCAATCTTAAAATTTTAAAACGTATTTCTTAAGAAGAAATTTACACATTTTTATAAGACGCTACAATAATAAATAAAAACAGTAAAAAATATATATATACACGACAAAAAGGTAAAATTTTAAAACCCTTTGTGTTTTGCAATAGCGTAATGATTAGGGGTAAAAGTGGGTGAGAAATTCGAACCCATCATCTTAATAATCTACCAAAAAAGTAAGATATTTTCCTCAACCTTTTTCCTAAATAATAATCATTTAATATATATACATAATATATATTCACTAAATCAATGAGTAATTATTAAATAAAAAATATTATTTATAAAGAAGCCAACCAAAAAAAATTTAAAATATAATTGAAGTTAAATATAATATAAATCAGTATGATCTGGAAATATTATGTGCGTAATCAATTGAAATATTTGATGATTCATCCGGTAAAAATGAATATTTAAAAATTTGACTTTGCATAATACCTTAAAAAATATTTATGATTTAAAAGAAAATTATCGAACATTTTTAGTCATAGATAAAAAAAAACGATTTAGTTCTAAAATTTTAATTTGTAATAATTAGGTAAGAAATTTCATTAAATTTTAAAAATATTTTTCATGATAGGATTAAATCATAAAAATTTAAATATATTATAAATTAAAGTTTCAGGGAATAATTATAAAAAAAAAATAAAATTTAATTTTAAATTATTATGTATGATTTTTTTTTTTTAATTTAATACGTTTTAAATTTAAAGTAAGAGAGAGAAAAGATTTGACCAAACCCGCTGCTCCAAATTGAAACCTTCCTGAAAAGCAAGGGGAATAGAAATCACGTGGCAATTAATGGTAGCGAGTTTCCAAATTTACAATATTATATAGTCGCTCAAGTTCAGTACCTTCTTCGTCTTCTTTCCCCTTTCTGAAAATTTCTTCCTCTTTTGCTTCCACTCCGATTCTTCCCAATGCCTCGATTCAGCAACAACCTCGTCGGAATCCTCAACTTCATCACCTTCTTACTCTCGATCCCGATTCTCTGGGCCGGCGTTTGGCTCAGCAAACAAGGAAGCACAGAATGCGAGAAGTTCTTAGACAAACCCGTAATCATAATCGGCGTGTTTCTGATGTTGATTTCTCTCGCCGGTCTTCTCGGTGCTTGCTGTAGAATCTCATGGCTTCTA